AGTGTATGGAACCCCATTCAATTCTTATTAGAGTTAAGTTTTAGTAAGGAATGTACTCATGGGTAGATTAGTAATAGAGATCTCAGTTCATGAGAACTTCATAGTATTTTGTATGGTTATTGTTAGATAGTTTAGATTAAGAGAACCTCAACCAGTGTACTCATGGATTGGTGGTTACTAGAGAATTCAGTTTATGAAAACTTCATATTAGGTTGTGTGGTTATTATTAGATAGTTTAGGTTAAGAGAACCTCAATCTTTGCATGACTTTAGTTTATGATGGTCCTTTCATGCCCCACTCTATACCATTATGAAAACTTCAATCAATTTATGAGAACAATAGTTTTAACAGGGAGTGAGACCCTTATGAGAGTGACCTTTATCATACCTTCATTTTATTAGAACTTTAGTTTATGAGAACCTCAATAGAAATTCAGTTCATGAGAACTTCAGTTTATGTGAACCTTAGTTTAGGAGAAACTCAGTTTATTAGAACCTTAGTTTAAGAGAAGTTCAGTTTGTGGGAAATTCAGTCTATGGGAAACTTCAATCTATGAGAAGCTCAATTTATGAGAAATTCAATTCATGGGAAATTCAGTGTTTGAGAACTCAAGTAATTAAGTCTATGGGAAATTCAATTTTTGAGGACTAAAGTAATTAAGTTTATGGGAAATTCAGTTTAGCAGTTTACGTTTGCATCACTTACAAGCTATCCACTTTACCTCCCATTTCCTCAGGTGTACCTTATATAACAATGATATGGCCTCTACCTTAGGGCTTGCAAGAACTAAATAAGAAATAATTACTTGAGATGAGTGTGACACAGATTGGGCAGGTGCAACATCAGATTGGGTTTTATATCGCTAGTGAACGGTGGATCGGATGATATGCTTTGCCTGTGGGCAGCTATTCCGGTAGAAATCATATTTGAGGAAAGGTTAATCGATGAAGGGAAATTCCTTTGCTTTGGGATTAAAGACTCGAGGGTGATGATACCAACTGAATGCATGCAATGAGGAACAATTGGTCAGGTCCAACTCTGGACCAGATGAGATGTGTGAAAGAACATCGTGATTTCTTAGAGAATGAGTTTTGTCCACTTAGAGAGAAAATTAGTTCTGTTCAACAGAGAAGACAATGAATATAGCAAAGTGTAAAAAAAAGTAAGATGATTTCTTAAATTAAAGAAAAATGGTAAAATAAATTAGAAAATGCTAGTTTTGGCATTTAAAAAACTTTAAACCACTGAATGAGAATCTTTTCAAAATTTATTGATGGAATGCTAACAGAGGGAGTTCTTTGTCTAAGGGCTAAAGTTTAGGGGGTTTTTGTTGTAAATTAAAGTATAGGGGTCTTTGTCACTAACCCCATATTACAAGGGGGGTCTTTGTCACTGACCCATAATATAAGGGGGGTTTTTGTAATTTATCCAAAATAATAATAACCTAACTGGGTCAAGCCAAACATCAGCCAAAAATTTCAAAAAAAAAAAAACAAAAATATAATAAATCCCTGAACCTACCCCCCGTTCCTAATTAAATTCTGCCATGTCAAGATAGAGAGAGCCAACAAGGTAAGAGAGAACGAGGGATTTAATATCTAAGGGGAGTGGGGAGGAGAGATATTCCAAAAGTTGACCCAGAGAGAGAGAGAGAGAGAGAGATTTAAGAATGATATTATTAGAAATAGGGCTGTCAAAAGTAGGGGTGGCCATGAGTCAAGCTCTTCACAAGCTATTCGGGCTCGGCTCAGCTCGGTTTTAACCAAGCTTCGAGTCGAGTTCGAGCCCAATTTATAGGCTCGTTTATTAATCGAGTCGAGCTCGAATAGCTACATAATAATAATAAATTATAGAAAATAATATATACTAAAAATATTATACATATAAAATTTTTATTTTTATATATAATAATAACTAATTATTATAATTCTTAATTTTTTTAATATCAAATAAAAAATATTTTATATATATATATATATATATTTTTTATTTTTATAAAACATTTTTCTCAAATCGAGCTTGAGTCAAACCGAGCTCGAGCTTATGAGCTTTTGACTCAAATCGAGCTCGAGCTCAAGGTTCTAACTCGAGCCTTGTACTGCCTTGGTGAGGCTCGAATCCACCCCTATGTCAAAGAACTACAAAAGTATGAAATCCAATCTAACATACGATCTGATTATCTCAGATATGGATTATCTAGTTACATGATCTGATCTGATCATATTTCACCCTATCGTATCTGATTAAAATCAGAAAACGATTTCATTATAATATATAAAATTTATACTCTATACAAATTTACATATAACAAATTCAATATTTCATATTTAATTTTTTATTATACTAGTAAAAAAAGTAGTTAACTTTTTACTTTTTTCTATATTTTAGAAAATGAGGTGGAGTCGGATTAAATCTGAATCTTGTTTGTAAACAGTCTTAATTACAAAGAGTAATAATGGACTTTGTTAGAAAAAATTAAGACATGAAATGGTTTTTATTGTAACTTTTTATGTTTTTAATAACTAAATTCAAAATTAAATAACCACGTGTGAGATATGGGAGGAGAAGGTTTATATTTTTTTTGATAGAGATGAAAGGAATTAAAAGGCAGAAAGACGATTGGTTAAAAAGCCACATGCATGCTTCAAATAAACAAATAAAAGCCAAGTTAATATCATTAAAATGAGAGCTCGAATAGGTTGTTTGATGCAATGATGCCCCAGGTTATATGAGCATCGAATTGTCCTGCTATGATATCAGAATAGCATGATAACTAAAAATTTTAGGCTATGTTTGGTTTGAAGGAAAATGTAAGGAAAGGTAGGGAAACTTTTACAATCCTTGTATTGGTTTCTTTGTCTTTCTCTTTCTTTCCCTACCTTTTTTTTCAAACCAAACATAGCCTTAGGGTCTGCTTTGTTTGTGGGAATAGGGGTTCAGAATTGGAATTGGAATTGGAATGGTCCATTACGATTCCAACTGTTTGGTTGGGTGGAATCGAATATCCCATTCCCAATCCTAGTGGAATGGCATTCCCCCATTTGAAGGAATGGCCATTCCTTCCCCCTCCCATGGGAATGAGAATCTATTCCATCCAATTCTGATTCCAATTCCAACTCTAGTCTGAACTAGACAGGTAAAAGAAATAGGCCATTCTAACTCTGACTGTGAACCAAATGGATCCTTATAACCAATCAACCTGTATCATAAAAGTGATAACCAATCAAATGGGTTGAGAGGGGTGTTTGGTCAAAGCTATTCCTGTGCCTTTCCATCAGCATCAGAGGTTTATCCGTAAATTTAGATATGTGGTGATAGAGTCTCATTGTATCTAAATACTTCATGCGTGCAAGTACAAAAGAGGAACCAATTGGAAATTTGTTAATAGATTGATTAAAGTACCGTAACGTAATAACAAACATATCATTCACAAGTCATTAGGATTCATCAGAAAATTAAATTGTTTTCCTTGTTTCCACAATTTTAAGGATAGTGATTAAGGAAAAGGGTTGACTAATTGGGTGATGACCACCTTTTGGATGTGACCTCTCCGATCATCAGATTCCGAAACCGTTTTATGGGCTTTATGTTCACTCTCCAGCCCACATCATACCATACCTTTTTTATGGCCTATATGTTCATGTAAGCATCCAGTATCTTTGCCATTTTCTTTTTATCTTAGGGGCCGTTTAGCATGTCTTTTTAGGAAGATCTTCTAATAGTTCTGACAGTTAAAAGATGTATTGAACTTTTGCATGAAGATTTGAGTAGCCCGAAGCTAGTTTGGCTACCATGCGTCTTTCCGTGCATCTTTCCGTATCTTTCAATGCGAGAATAAAATGAGAAAGACACAAAAAGCTCCATTTAAAACTTCCCAAAATCAATCCAAAATGGGCAAAGTCTGTCCAACTTGTAAACAGCCAAAAGACTGCACAGAAAAATGCGCCAAACATGGCCTTATATACTGCAACCCGATAAGGGTTTTGAGTCTTTCGGCTTTTGACACTTGCATGGGCTTTTTGGATAGATCTAGCCTTTTGAAGATGATTTTGTGCAACATGTGGGCCCAATTTGGGCGCCCATCAAGCTGTCATGTAGAAAAATTTCAGAAAGTTCCCTAGGAGATATTTTATGATGTCTAATTCCTTCTAACTTACATAAACTCTTGCAAACATAACAGATACATAAACTGTTGATTACTTGGTCCAATGAACTGAACCAATTTTCTATTTCCTGCTTGCAGTTGAAGGGACTGCTTATTTATGGCGTTTGGTGGAAGTTGCTTGCAAGAAAAATGGAAATACAAAAAAAGAAATAAAAAAAAATCTAACCACCTATAAATCATTGCCTGGCATATTAAATAACAGATTAAGCCACATAATTAAAAATTGCTCTAATTACTCAAACCCTAAGGCTACGTTTGGTTTAATAGAAAAACAGAAAGTTAAGGGGGAAGTTCATAAGGAATTTCATGCAAATCTTTAGGAACTTCCCCTTATTTTTCTGTTAATTTCTCCCTTATTTTCTATCAAACCAAACAAGATATATAAGCTATTAGAATAGCCCGGCCGTGGCTTGTCTATCAGTCTTTATTTTGGTAATCCACTTTGCCTTCTCTTGGAAAGACTAGTAGTATCTTTTTATAAAAACAAGAGGAGGACTATTATATACATGAAATATATATGGAAGACTGAAAGCAAATTTCTAATATGAAAGCTAACTGATGACAATTTTGTTCTTGTGATGTTTATCTAAGAAAGCTCTTTATTATTTGATCCCTAGTATTTAATTAATTCTAATTAAAAACATTATTAAATTTACAGAACTATTTTATTTAACAATAGAGGAAGTATTCATGCACTAGATGTTTCGTGCTAGAAGGCTATAATGTATTACAAAAGTTACAACATTCTTTCTCTCTCTCTCTAGATCTCCTTCTTCTATTTATATATGGCAGTTAGCAGCATAGAAGAACAACAACAATAATAATACCATAAAGACTACTACATCATTGATTTTTCTGTACAAGGGTGCAACTGCAATGGAGGGCCTGAAAACTAAGTTGATAGTTATATGCATCTTAAGGGTCTTGTCCATGTGCAACCAGAGTTTAGGCATCCCTGGTGAATACTCCATCATGGGTTACGATTTTGTGGGATATGATCTTGATGACATAGAAGAGGGAGTTGCGTTAATCTTCGAACGATGGACAGAGAAACATGGCAAGGTCTATACAAGCACAGAAGAGAAGGATAGGAGATTCAAGATCTTTCAGAGCAACCTAGCCTACATCATCAACTGGAACTCCAAGAGAAGTCCAACTGATCACACTATGGGACTCAACCAATTTTCAGACATGAGTTTCGAGGAGTTCAGTAATGTTCGTCTTTCCAGTGTCAATCCCACAGAGAGCCTGTTGGAGACTATTTCAAAGGGAGTGAAGACGACATGTACACATCCATCATCGTTTGATTGGAGGAGCCAGGGAGTTGTAACCCCAGTTAAAAATCAAGGAGCTTGCGGTAAGCATCTTGATATATATAAGTGCCATTTAATTCTGTTATTTGCAAATAACATTTGGTTTTGATTAGTTTTCAATCTTTGAATATTGGTAGGGAGTTGTTGGGCATTCTCTGCAACGGGAGCCATTGAGGGAATAAATGCCATAGTCACAGGAAATCTTACAAGCCTCTCAGAACAAGAACTCGTGGACTGTGACAAAACCAGCTATGGTTGTAATGGAGGTTGGACGAATAAAGCATTTCAGTGGGTCATCGATAATGGCGGTATAGCCACTGAATCCCAATACTCTTATACTGCCAAAGATGGAGTTTGCAACAGCAGTGCGGTTAGAATTCTTTCCGAGCACTTGTTCTAATTCTGATTTAAGTTGTTGCTACACCAAATATAAGAGTAAAATTTAACCCCTCCCTTAAATCTCTGTTTGGATAAACTTTTGCTTTTGAACCTTGGGCTGTGAATACAAAAAATGAGCATTTGGCATAGCCACCGAATTCCAATATCCTTACACAAAGAAATGTGGAATTTACAACAGTAGTGCAGACAGAATTCTTTTGAAGCACCTGTTGTAAATCTGGTTAAAACTATTGCTGCCAAATATAAGCCTAGAATTGAACCCCTCTCTCCCTTAAGCCCTGCTTGCATGGATAAGCTTTTGCTTTTGAACTCTATGAGATACAAAAATGAGACAAAGTATTTTTGACCAAACCATGGAGCCCAAAACTTTGTGCTTTTGGACTCAAAAGCACAAAGTCTGAAGCTTACCCAAACCCAACTAAATCTGTATTGAGTCTGTTTCTTGATTATTAATTATATATTATGGTAGTGTTTCTTTAGAACCACCCTTTTTCAAATTAAACTAAAGCCCATCTTTTGTTGTTCATTTGAAATTCAATATGATATATAGGTGAAAGCAGTAAAGATCGATGGGTATCAATGGGCTGGCAGAGATGAGGAATCCCTCCTTTGTGCAGTCACTCAACAACCAGTCAGTGTATCAATTTTGGTTGTACAGGATTTTTATCAATACACAAGTGTAAGTGAACTAGCCAGTTTAATGATCTGTCTATTTTCAAGGACACAATATTTTCTATTCATTTTACTGAGGTGACTAACAAACAGAAATATATCAATCAATCTGCAGGGGATCTACAGTGGAAAAAGTTGCCCAACAGACCAACCAGGAAATGTAAATCATGCAGTTTTGATAGTGGGTTATGGAACCTCGGCAGATGGAATAGATTACTGGGTTGTGAAGAACTCATGGGGACCTTCCTGGGGGAAGTTGGGTGGATACGTGTTGATTCAGAGAAACTCTGGATTGATATATGGAGTATGTAACATAAATGCTTGGCCTGTCTATCCCACCAAAAATTCCATTTAATCACCCAACTTAAGGCAAGAAGAAATAGTGCCCCAATCTTTGATTACTGTTGTAATGTTGTTAGTGCAGCTTCCTGCTTTCCTTAATTCCTTTGTTTGACATTCTGATTGAAGAAAGGAAATTAAAGCAGGGCTTTTGTGAATAAGTTTTGCACTAGAAAATCTGCTGTTTCACACCATTTGATTGTTGTTCTAGAATGCAACAATAATTGTAATTTGTGATCTTTTCGGAATAAAAATACAATAATATAATTTGTTAATTGTAATTTTCCTTCCCCATTTATTTCATGCTCACTTTTCTTCTGTCTAGTTTTATTATTAAATAATCAATAGATAGCTAGTCATCTCTCCAATTCCCTATATAGGGAAAGTTCAATTTGCTCAAGCCACAAACTCAATTGGTAATTTTTTTTATCTACATTTGCTTCTATATAAAAGAAAAATAGCTTTTCTTTTTGAAGGGGGATGTGGGTTTAACGTTTATATAAATGAAAATGGATTACAGAATAATCTACAGTTTTCTTTCAATTTATTTTGTTTATATTCTAGTTGTTAGTGTGGAAATATAGTGACAAAAAGTGTAATATAACAAATAAAGAAGGTTGCAAAGTTCTATTAGCTTGAGGATAGTAGTTGAAGAAAAAAAATAATGGCTAATATGAAGTTTGACATTTGGCCATCTTATCTATTCCTTTTAAGAATACGCCCACAATAGTTTATAATTTTTTAGGGCAAATTACAAACACCCCTTAAACCCCTTCCGTTAGGATTCTATCAATTAACTTTGAAAAAGATACCCATTGTACTGTTTAAAATTTTTAAAATCCCCAATCTACCCTTTTTCTTATTTATTTGAACAGTTTATGATTTAGTTAGTTTTGTAAATATAATATTGAGTTGTACCATCATAGCAATTTGACAACAACTATGGTGTCTTCATTATATATTCATCAAAGCAAGAATTTTTTTCTTGTTTTCCACTATAATTCAAGATGCTATCGGAAATTTTCCTTTTCTATTGATTTTTGCCAGAATTTTTTTCCTTATTCGATGATGGTGTAACAGAGAGTTCTTCACCAATTAGATGGTAGAAGTATTTTCCAGCAAGAAGCAACGAAGGAGCAACAAGAGATACTTTTGGGTTAGGGTTTAAGCAAAAATAGGTGAGAAAAAGAAAATAACAAAAGTTAAGATGAATATTTTGATAATTTAACACCTCCCATCATCTCCCTTAATGGCTAGGGGGTATTTGTCACCGACCCCACGGTACCAGAGGGGGTCTTTAATTTACCCCCTTTTGAATGAACATAGTAAAACAAAATTTGTGAGGAATAGCAAAAAAGCATAGTAAAACAAAATCTCATATAGAAAATGTCCATATAAAATAAATACTCTAATATAATAGAAGAGTCCATGATATTTCATATTTTTCAAATATTTAACCCTTTATTTTTATTTATGTCAAATATTAGAAAGAACACTATGACTAAAATATCAAATTTCTCTCCAAATTTACCATGTTTCATCAAATGGAGTGTAAATTCCAGTTCAGGGTAAATTTGCACTCTGCTTCACTTTTGTCTGTGTTTGGCAACATTACATTTTTGCATTAACAAATGACAGACCAATGCATATTTACATTGATAATAAGATGTAAAAGTACATCAATAAAAAAGAAGTAAATTTGCATTCAAGTGGGTTATTGATAAAAAAAAAGCATATACTTTATTGGAATTCGTGTTTGTATCCATTACAGCTAAAAATCTGTTTGGTAAAAAAGTAAATTTCTCAATGCAAAACTAACCTAACTTTACAATTTATATAAACCATTTTACACTCTACATATTTGCATCGTTTCCAAATACAGACTTAGGAAAAAATCTCAACACAAATTGCTTATGACAGAGCAACCATAACTTACTAACACCACAGTCCAGCTCAATTGTGACATACCATGAAGAAACATTGACCATTAATGGGGAAAAAAGAATTGCCTACGACAGAGAACTCATAACTTATCAAGATTACCATCTAACCCAATTATGCTTCAAAGAGACTCGCAATTAAAATTCTAAAATACATTTAATTTACCCAATTCAAATGCAACAAAAGATAAGGAACAATTTTCCATTAACAAAGATAAGGGCTTCAATATAAAACTTTAAGCTCAAATATATTGAATTCATTTGATGTAGTCTAGTGGTGGGGGGGTCATCTTATGCAGTCCAAACAAGAGGCGCCCTATAAACTAGTAATGAATATGGCCTTGAAAACCTTATATAGAAAGGTTATGAGAAATAGTTAGGGGGGAAGGGGGGTGCAATATTCACTTTGGTCCAATAAATAAGCATATCACATATCTCTTTGTTTATTAAATTAGTGGGGCTAATTACTCTCTATTCAATTCGTACTACAATATTTTATAGGGGAAATACTCAAAAAAGGCTTTCAATCTTCAAGGTATTCGATATCTCTCTTCATTTCCATGTACCCATTTTCTTTCCAATTAACAGCCCATGAATTATTTATGAGCCAATATTTTACCCCTTTGTTGATTGTACCATATAATACAATGATTTAGCAATTTTTATTTAACTTATATCTACGCCTCTCCAAAGATAAGTGATAACCCATATCACCTTTGTACCATAGAAAAAAAAATCAAAATATACTATAGTGGCCACTTCCTTTCTATGGTCCTTAATAATGCCTTTTTGTCACATGATTGAACGCGTCTGTAACCCCTAATGGCTAGTTTTTCCTTTATATGGGTAATTGTCTTCTTATATATGTCTCCATTATTTATTATAAGTTTGAGCTTGGCCAAGCCAAATATATTGCTATTCAAATTTGACTCGATAGAAAAGCATAAGGTTCGAGTTTGGAGCTCGAGCTCAACAATGAACTAAGCTCCATATAAAAATAAAAAAGTCACATGTAAAAATTATACTAAAATATTAAAATCTGCCCTATACTTTGCATTTTATTAAAACACCCTTCTAGTTTACAATCTATTTATTTAATTGACCTTCCACTATTGGTGATAGTGAAAAATGACAGTTTTGACCTTAATGTCCATTTGAATAAATTTAATAAAAAGAAAATAAAAATGAAAATACCATTTTTTGCCCTAATAAGACATGAGTAAACATTCTATTTGGCTCTATTTGTTCAATTTTGTTCTCTATACGAAAAAGTGTTAAGGGTAATTTTGGAATACACAATTATGGGCCCATGCCCTTGAACATTTTCCACTCACTTTAGGTGATCATATTACTATTTTCAGATGGAAAAATAAACACTTCTTAGTGAAAAGTTTAGTAAATAAATAGGTTGCAAACTATAAGGGGTATTTTAATAAAATAAAAACTATAGGGTAGACTTGGGTAAATGATCCAAATATTATATATATATATATATATATACACACACTTATAAGAATTAACCCATTTGGAAGGGAGGAGTTATCTATACATGTTAGCTCTGTATACATATACATATATATATACTAAAAGGAAAGGTGTACAACCAAATTGGTGAGAGTTAGCATTTACAATATGTTACAATCACTAGGCCTGACATTTCTTACTCCATCAACAAAGATTGCAGATTTCTTCATTCACCAACAGATGCTCACTAGTCTGCTGTCAAAAAGATTCTTCAATACCTTAAGGTTATGTTTGTATAGGTTTCTCTACCTTTTCCTTCTTTTCCCTACTTTTTCCTTCAAACCAAATACAGCCTAAGGGAACAATGGTTGTTGACTTGTTAGACTTCACTTCACTCCCTCATCTTCTCTCCACCTGCGTGCCTATAATGATGCTGACTAGGTGGGGTGTCTAGACAATTGTAAATCCATTGAAAAATACTATGTGTATTTGGGATCCAATCTCATTGCACGGAGTGCAAGAAAACAAGTTATAATAGCCCACTCAAGCACAAAAGCTGAGTTCAAAGTATTAGCAAACTTAGTGATGGAGTTGTCATGGATTCAATCTCTCTTGGCCGATTTGGGATTCTCCTCTAAATGTACCCCCGGTTGCATGGTGTGGTGACATTGGGGCAACATGTTTATCTTCTCATTTAGTGTAGAAGTTGATTTCCACTTCTTACGTGATTTAATTAGAAAAAAGAAGCTAGTGGTAAAGTTCATCTCCTTAGAGGATCAAGTTGATGATATTCTCACCAAGGCATCTCACTCCTCGATTTCTCCATCTTTGTTCTAAGATACATGTAATTTCCAAGTCATTTTGTTTGAGGATGCATATTGGGGATAAAGATGCAGTTACGTAACCCATCAGTTCCCTTTCCCTACGTAGCACTGTCGATATATCAGCAAACTCATCTTATCATCTTATTATCGTCAACTTATCTATATATATACAGGATGCACGGGATTTATTAAGCAAAATCTAAATAATAGAAAATGCCATTTTCTAAAATACCCCTTACATTTTCATGGATTTACTAAAATCTACCATATAATTAGCATTTTACTAAAACACAACTTATAATTTGCAATGGATTTAATCAATTGTAAATTATAATGTTGACCCTAATTTAATCAATCTTCCAATAGATGAGAATGGAAAATGACAATGTTGACCCTAATTAGAAATTGCAACGGGGCGGGGATCATAATCCCCATCCCCAACCCCGATTATAAAAGTAACCCCGTCCTCGATCCCCAACGGGGATGGGTTCCCGTGGGGACCTGAATCCCCGAAATTTTTTATATATAACAGTATTTATTTGAAAAATAAATTTACTTAAAATAAACAAATATTTTAAAATATAAATAATATAATAATATATATTTAATATATATATATATAATATAAATAATATATATATATATGCATAATCGGGGTTAGGGCGGGGCTGGGACCTCAATTCCCATCCTCGACCCCGACCACGATCAGGGATTCTTATTAATCCTCGTCCCCGTCCCCGCCCCGCCTAAACAATTCCCATCCCCGACTCCATCGGATCAGGGAAGTCGGGTCCCTGCTGGGGATGGGGAAAATTGCCATCCCTAACCCTAATGTTCATTTAAATAAATTTAATTAAAAGAAAATAAAAATAAAAAATACCATTTCCGCCCTTAATAAGCCACAGGTAACCACTCTATTGGCTATATTTGGTCAATTTTGTTTTTATACAAAAAAGTGTTAAGGGTATTTTTGGAATAAAAAATAATGGGCCTAATGGCAAAAAAAAACACTCC